TTTTTCTCATTCAAATTGACCTCCTAACTATTTCTATCTCGGATTGACCCAAATGTCACTACTTCTGCAATATCTAGGTTCGGAATATTACAGATGTAGCTAAATACCAAAAATTCAACACAAATATGCAATTGCGATGGTCCAGGTTCTCAATCGCGACAATAAACTGATTAAATTTGACATATTTTTGTCTTTTAGCTAGATCTACAATATTCCAAATCTGGGTATTGCGAATGTAGTGATATTTGGGTTAACCCGAGAGAAAAATAGTTAGGAGGCCAATTTGAATGAAGGGTATGATCATTTGAGCTAATTTATTCATGCACACACACACACACACACACACACACACATATATATATATATATATATTCCCAATCATTTATAAACTTTTTAATACATAAAAAAATCAAAATATGAATTTTTTACTGTAGCTTATTAAAATGATATTGTTTATTTAGTATACCAGTTCAAACCTAATAACCTTTACTTGATTTGGTAGTCGCATTTCAAGCCTTGAGAGATTATCAAAAAAATTTATCGTAGGTATTCGGAACAGTTTACTTGTATCTCGACCTTGACTAATTTTCAAAAGTTCTTAAAAAACAACTACGAAAATCCTGATTGACTTCCAAGACTCGAACCGACGATGTTTCAGTTACGTAATTCTTTTTTAAGTCATTCATATTCAAACATAAAGCGGTAAAATCAAAAGTTGTAGCATGATTTGGTCAAAGATGCAACAAGTCACAGGGGTGCACGAGGATTACTGCTCTTCATCATCTTATATTAATTTAATAACAATTACATGTTTTAATACGTTTATTAATATTATATATATATTATGAATTTTGATAGGTGTTATGAAACTTTATTATAAATCAGAAATAAATATATTTTGATTTAATTTTAAAATATAAAATGGGTTAAAAATCAAATAGTAAAATAAGAAAAGTGAAAAGATGGAGAACAAACAGAATTGTCAGCGTTTGAGGCGCACGAGGGGAGATCTCTCTCACAACTCTTTTCATTTCAAAGTGCCCTCTGCACCCTTTCATTTTTTTAACTAACTTTTGTTTTCTTCAATATTTTTAATAACTATACCTTTTTTATTCTTTACATTTTATATATATATATATATATATATATATATATATATAGTTTCAAACGAAAACGCTACCTATTTAAAAAATAAAAAAATATTATTAATATATAAAATCATATATGATTTACTTATACATGATCCAGACGATTTTGTCATACAGCTTGAGTGGCCTTAAAAGTCGTCCGTTTCCATTTAATTTATAATCATATGTAATTTTATATATTAACAACATATTTCTTGTTTTCTTAAATAGTTAGTGTTCTATATATATATATAAAATAAAAGTTATCCTTAATTTAGAAAAAAAACATGAATACATAATTGAAGAAGGGGTTAGAGTGGTGATGTGGTAAATAAACACAAATTGTTAATTTAAAATATATATAAATAAATAAGAAAAAGATTTTAATAAGTTAAAAAAGGAAGTAAAATTGGGTGGGAGTGGGAGTGGGAATGTGATTCATTGATGTATATTTTAAACCTCCATACATTGAACTGAAGTCATGTGACTTTGCTCTTTACCCTATGTCCATATAATTCAACCCCCACCTCCCTTTTACTTTTATTTTTATATTCTTCTTCTTCATTTTTGAATTACATATTTTCACTTTTAATATATATATACTAGTTGTGTATCCACGTAATGTGATGGGAGCCATGAATTTTAACAATTTTGAAGTTTCACTAATTTAATTAGAAAAGATTTAATGATGATATAAGTTATACTTGGTCTTTACATATTAATACAGTTTGAATAAATAAGAGTTATGGTTCCAATTACAGTCTATTGATGGAAAAAAATTGTATGACAATTTAAAATCCAACATATTTAAACGGCTCCACAAATGTATTTGATTTACACTAAGAGCAAAGAATCAAGAGACCGAGAGTTCGAGAGCAATTGAATATGAGAACTTTTAATAACTCATAGTGAATATTAGTTTGAATCTCACGTTAGGGGATAAGGAGAAGACATAGAGGTATAAGAAGGTGAAGGCATGAGTGAAATGTGTCAAAAGTATCTTGAAAACATGAAAAGAAAAAGATAATAATGTGTATTGGTAACTTGCACTATATGCTATTTTAATTGTAGATAAGAGATTTTAAGACTGAATGCATAAAATAGTAGTACTTAATGCATTATGAGTTGTTTTTAAAACTTTTAAGACTTTGTGGCATAAATATATAGTACTTTGTGTATTAAAAATTGTTTTTCAGACTTTTAATAAAGTTGGTTTATAAGTTAATATAGATGTATAAATTACTTTGAAATTTTTTAACCTAACTTGGTTGTTTAGTTAAATTACATTTTAGGAAAGTTTCATTTCTGCAACCTAATTTTTTATGTCATGTTTATTGTATGGGATTTGGGATTGGATTTCATATCAGTCTTGTGTTGAGTTACAAAAACAAGTTTGGAATTGAAATCACACAAACATTGGATTTAGAAAATCTCATAGGAGTAATTGGTATTTCACTAATAATGTTAAAAATATATATATATTAAAAACATTTATTATGTAATAATTAGCTAACAAAAGGTAATTTAATTATTTATAATTTATTTTTATAAATTATCTATAAATAATGAAATTCAATTCCAATTCTAATCATATAAATCAAGTACACCAGATATTCCAAATCCTTTCACAAAATCCAAATTTCTCACAAACTTTGTCGTTTGGTTTGATTGAATGGTTTTTGACGGGTTTGGTTTATAAGATTTGGAATGAAATTGATTTTCATTCTTTATACATAATTTATAAAAACAAATTGTAAATAATTATAGAACTAATTAAATTATATTTTTATTAATTGATTAATAATGTTTTTAACATATTTCAAACCATTATTACATGTAAATTTTACAAATTCCTGTGATAAACTAACCACACCACGGGGTTTCAAAATCCTATATATGTCGGATTCCAATAAAATCCAAGAAATCCTTCAAATCAAACATGGAATTGAAATGGAATTCAATTACATATACCTCCAAATCCAATCTGACCCTAAGGTCCTGTTTAGTTCGCAGAATAGAATTTGGTGAAATTGAAATTCATCAAAGGAATTAGAGTTTGGAGGAATTAGAATGGACTTTGATGGAATTTAACCAAACGTTTGGTTAATAGAAATTTGAATGAAATCTCTAAAAAGAATTCGAATCTCCATCTTTGTTTGGCATAATGTAGCTTCAAAATTGTAATGAAATAACAAAAAGTGACCAAAATGCCCCTTTATTAAATTTTCGTACTTTTTTGCTTAAACTATAAATATATTTTAATGATAATATTCATTGATGGGCGTGGGAGTCGTGGTTGTTGCGAAGATGGTAGTGACGTGGTAGGTGGGGGTGACAGTGTGACGACGACAATAGTGGCATGATGGTATTGACGGTTAGTAGTAGGTGAGGGTGAGGGTGAGGCTGTGGGATAGCGGTTGTGACAACGACAATAGTGGTATGTGTGATGGGTGAGTGGGGGTGGAGTGGTGGGAGTCAAAGCGATAATAGTAGGGGTAACGGTAGACTAGGTGGCGATTGTGACGACGGAAAATAACGGTGTCGTGACGGGTGGGGGTAAGGTGGGGATGGGTGAGTGGTGGGTAGTGTTTGTCTTTTTTAAACCAAATTTTCAGATTCGTTACCTTCGACAAGGGATGGAATTTAATTCATTCACATTTGCTAATGAGGGCATTTGGTGTCCAGACATGATAGGACAGAACAACTCTTCAGCTTTTGGTAAGACAGGACTGGACAGAACAAAGCAAGTAAAATGATCAATTTAACCCTAATGAATTGTTTATATATTTTGATTAATTCATGAAATTTATTAAATTAAAATAAATAATTACTTTTCGTAACAAAATATATCATTTGAAAGTTTTTGTCAAAAAAATTAAAATGATACCAAAATAAAAAAGTTTATGTAGTTTCCGATTTTTATTTTTTTTCACTTTTCTACATTTTATCAATATTATAATAGGTTGCATAATTTAATAAAAATATGAAACCGTATAAAAATAGTATTTTGAGGACAGTAAAATTAAGGTTTAGAAAACATAGAAAACAAATAAATAAAATTCAAAAAACGAATAAAAATGTAAAAAGGAGATGTATTTGATGTTTTATAAGATAATTAAGTTCTATTTTGAGTTTATATTGGTAAAATATAAGTCTGTTCCATAGGATAGGGGTGGAACAAGTCTGTTTCACATAAGAGTCCTGTAAAATGTGAAACATATATCCTTGTTTTGTTTTGTTCTGTACAGTGTACTAAACTCTGGTACCCCAACCCCTAGCCTGACACCGCCAGGCCTCCCCTGCCACTCACTTTCTTCCGCCCTCCGCTACCCACGATGGGTAGTTGGGTCGGGTCCCCCCCCCCCCCCCCGACCCCTCTCTCGCCACCCACAGTGGCGGATCCAGAAACTTTTATTATTGGGAACACTTTTTAAGAATGTCAAAAAAAATCTGAAACCAAATAACTCTTTCGAACCAATACGATTTTGGTTATTCGGTTTTCGGCTTTAAGGTCCACTTTAATTGAAGTGGGTTAGGATGAGTGGTTGTTGTGATAGAGACAATAGTGGTGTGGTGGTGGGGGGCTAAGGTAGGGACGTGAAAGTGGGCGGTAGCATGGTCGTAGTAGGGATGTGGGCGACAAAGGGCTAGTGTGATGACAACAATAGTGGCATGGTGGTCAGTAATGGGTTAGGAGTGGGTGACTATTCTGACGACGACAGTTATGTGGGGGTGGGGGGTTAGGCGTGGGGCATGACGGTGACAGTAGTAGCATTAGGTGAAGGCAAAAGGGTGTTACTGAAAACTCAGTTAAAGGTCATTTTAACTCGATAACCCAACAAGCAAACTTTTGTGTGAATAAGAGTTTACTTAGAAAACACTACAATGAAACTTGTGTTTCACCTTTCTATATATACCCATTGGAAATATCATCTTTAGGTTTGAATTTCTATATATATCATCTTTCTATATATAGTAAGATCAAAGAGGTTTCAACTGCTTCTGCTTCTATAGATTGAAAAGTACTTTGATTTTGACTTTCGAAAAGTCAAACCGAAATCTTTTCAGGGCTTCTGTGCAGAAAACATAATGAAAGCTTGCTGAACTTTGGTTGTGTAGTTTGTAAGACCACAAGATTTGCACAAATCCTCTATTTCTTCTTCTGTTAAATAGTTATAGCTCCCACCAATCCTCTGCCACACAACAATTCATACCAATTTCAGAAACCGATCCCGGAAAGACACCTAACGTTACAAGAATGTCGCAAGTTCGACTAATGGAACTGGGAACGGGACTCGCAAAGGGTCCCGTTTTCTTAACCCAAGGATAAATGGGAACGTGACTTGCAAAAGCCGAATGGAAAGAAACTTGTATAAACAGAAACGGATTGACTCACAAAAATTTAAAACAGAGGTAGAGAAGCAATCGTTACCCGGTCAAACGGCCTTAGAATTGCAGGAGTTGATGACGTTGATCGTAGAAAAGTCGTCCCAACAAACACACCACCACTTCGCAAAATACGATTGATCTCCGCAATCTGGACCCAAAAACCGAGTCAATAGTGAATCATTCATATTAGATTATTGGGTAGGTACAACGTAACACGCAAATTTTAAGCCAAAACTCAAGGAAAACACAAAGTTTCAGATAACGGAGGTACGGTGTGACTTTGCGGTCAAACAGACTAATTGCAGATTCCCAAAAAAAACCCTGAGATCTACAAAAACGATCAAGAGCATCTAGCTGATTACTATACATCATACTAGTTGTGTACCCGCACAATACGGCAGGAGCCGTGAATTTTAACGATTTTAAAGTTTCACTGGTTTTATTAGAGAAGATTTAACGATGATATAAGTTACACTTGGTCGTACATATTAATACAATTTGAATAAATAAGAGTTATGGTTCCAATTAGTCTATCGATGAAAAAAATTGTATGACAGTTTAAAATCCAACATATTTAAACGACTCCACAAATGTGCTCAATTTACACCAAGAGCAAATAATCAAGAGATCGAGAGCGCGACCGAGAGTTCTAGAGCAATTAAATGGGGGATGAATGAAAGAACTTTCAATAACTCATGGTGAATATCAGTTTGAATCTCACCTTGGGGGATGGGGAGAAGACATAGAGGTATGAGAGGGTGAAGGCATGACGCATGAGTGAAAGGTGTCAAAAGTATCTTGGGAACATGAAAAGAAAAGGTAATAATGTGCATTGGTAACTTGTATTATATGTTATTTTAATTGTAGATTAAGAGATTTTAAGACTGAATGCATAAAGTAGTAGTACTTAATGCATTATGAGTTATTTTTAAGACTTTTAAGACTTTGTGCATAAATGTATAATACCTTGTGCATTAAAAATTGTTTTCAAGACTTTTGATAAATCTGGTTTATAAGGTAGTATAGATATAGATAACAAGTTTTAAGATTATATTTCTGTTAAACTTGTAAATAAAAGCATACTAATTATAAATATGAAAATTAACAGATTTGACCATAAAAGTCAAAAGGTAACTTACTGCATTAGAAGGAGATGGCCAACAATGCAAAGCTGCACCAGCATGAACTGCATCAATCGAACCTGACGAAAACGGAAGCCTGGAAACATCTGCCCTTACAAGTGCGAGATTGCTGCAATTTTGAAAGAACACGAGTTAATCGTGATAAAAAGATCCGTAGGCTATATTTGGCAAACTAGCTGATAAGCTTAGCTGTTACCTGAAAAGCTGGCTGTTGGCCAGTATTTTAACTGATAAACTATTCATGTTTGGTAAAAACTAGCTCATAAGCTAGATAACAATGTATAATGACCTAAAATGACTTGTTGAAAAATTCATTATGAAAATATAAGGCGCATAATTGAAAAAAGGTGAAAAAAAGGGAGCTTTTTGAAACACTGCCGACTTATGTCTAACTAAAAGGGGCTTTTTCAATAAGCTTATTAATAAGCTAGCTTATAGTTGCCAATCATGGGTAGAAAAAGCACCAACTTACGAGCTTAAGATTGTATCGTCGACTTTTATGAAATCGTAACATTGGCGAAGCATGTTTTCAGAAAAATCAAGGGCTACAACTCGTGAGTAGGTCCCGGACTTTGCAAACTTGCGGGAAAACAAACCGCTTCCGCAGCTAACGTCTACTAAAGTTCCACCTTCTGCTGGTTTGAAGTATTCCTGAGCCATGTTGAACTACAGAAATGGAAATTCAAGTAAGAAAGTAGCGTATGACAAAGCACATAGTTTAAGAGAAGCGTTTGGCAACTGATCAAATGCGTTAAGCGTCTTTCAAGAATGGTAAAATCGGAGAATCTAACAGACCCAAATGAATATCATCGATTCTTTATTAACGGAGACAAGTGTCATTTAACTAAGTGACCTTAAATGTGGATCCTCTAACTAGATATCCAACCCGCTATGCGAGCCGACTAATCCCAGGGCGACCACCTGCTTTGCAGATAGCCTGGAGTAGTTTCCACATTTGGGGTTGGGGTTTTCAGGATCTATGTCATTCGAAATCCTACCAAACAAACAAATTACACCTACAATAAGAAACAAAACAAACTAACCTCCTCATCCGGACCAGGAAAACCGCTAAAGTTGAAATTTTGACGCCATCCCCTTTCGTACAAAAATGAAACCAGAGGGCTCCTAATGAAAAAGACGAGACCAATTAGCATAGAAGCAAAGAGATAGCATATAACTCACATACTGTAACAAAATCGATCGTTCCCAATATCCAAAGCAGTACACAATTTAATACAACATATTCATACCGAAATAACTCAGTCCGAGATGGTTGAATCTCAACGTAGTCTTTTGCACCAGCAATAACCGTAAGATCAAGATAGATGTTCTTGCTTGAATATGACTTATTACACTTCAGACATTTAAAACCAGATCGATAAATAGCTGGCCTGCAAGTTACAAAGATCTCCTGTCAAGCCACTGGACTCCATTGTGTGCAGGATTATCACCAAAACGACAAGAAATTGTAAAGATTCAACTTACAAATTGAAACCAGGAGGACCTTTTCTTATAAGCGGTTCGAAACACACAGGGCATGCAAACAAGTCAAGTTCCCCTGCATCTTGGGGCTGAGTGACTGCTTCCTGCAATTAAGAGACAATATCTGAATCGTTAAGAGATGAATCTTGTTTGGCAAAAAAAATCTGTCTCTTAATGGTTCTAAAACCCTCTGAATGATTTTGTATCATAAGGTGATAGACACATGCATGCGTACATATGAACTTCTAAAGAGTGGGTAAAGGAACCTTTCTCTCTCTTATCATACGCAATATCTGCCTCCCTTAACCATTGAAAGCCTTAATTTCATTGTAAACAATTACCAAACAATTATATTTCATTTTGTATTATATCATAAGAGTCTCTTAATCATTCTGACCACTTAATCATTTTGCACCAAACCATTCGGCAACTGCCAAACAACCCCTAAATAGCAATTGAATCAAGTAATGTTTACAGATTCTTTTTCTTTGCCCTAATCATATTGGCACCCCAAACAAAGCATAATGATCACAGAAACTACTGAAGTAATAGATACAGTCAAAACAAAACACACTGCAATTTAGTGGCCAACATGCTTCAGATATCTAGTTCATTAAAACCCTACCTAAAAACCCTAGAATCAATCAAAATCAACCATATCTAACAAGATTTCAGAACTTTCAGACCCTCATAATCAAGAAAACAAACTACAATAAAGGAAAAATTGCCTAAAGAGATGCAATTGTTTCTGTTTATATCGATTAGAGAGAGAAATTAAGTACCGATTCTTTAGCAGCAATGGCAGAAGTGGGTTGAATTCTTGAAGATGGGAATTGGAGGGGAGAAGGGAACTGGGTGTGCTTCAAAAGTGAAGGGAATTTAGGGATCAATAAGGTCCGATGATGAAGAGGATGGAGCAAATGATTTACAGGGGAAGAAGAAGAAGAAGTTGAGACCATTTTTGGGTGAAGTTATGGATCTTTATCGGACCTTCTTTTGTTGAATTGGCGTCGCATATATACAAAGAGACCAATATATAAAGGCAATTTCATGATGGAGAAGAAGAGTGATGAAATTTCTGGTTTTTGTTTCATGAATATTTGTTTTCTTGTGTTGGGTTTGTGTGGTGATCAAGAAACCAGGTGAAGAGAGACGGGTTCTTTTTAGAACAAGGAGAAAGAAACTATCTTTTTTTCTTTTGAGGATGCTCAGTTGCCACATCATCTCTTAAACCACCATCTATGAAATTTTATTGAATTGAATAAAAAATGTTATGTTTGATATTATAAGAAAGGGAAAAAATAAGGTAAGAAAAAGAAGTTTTTATGAGAATTATTGACGAATTCGAAAGAAAAAATCTATTTATATATGTAACTAAAAGAATATTCGTATAATGCAGCAAGACACATCTTGATTTTAATGTTCTATTTTATTATTTATCTATGTCGATATTATAATACTATTTTATGTGTTTTTAAGAAAACAATAATGATTTTATTTTTGAATAAAATATAAATTTGAATATCATAAAAAAAATTAAAAATATATATCAATATTAATATCAAATCAACTATTTAAAAATTTTATTTTTTATGTAATTTCTTTATATAATTTATTTTTTTATTATAATTTAATTTAAGTTTAATAATAAAATAATTTATTTTTGGTTTAATAATATAATATTTTATAAAGATAATAATTAAATATTTTGTTAGAACTCAACTAAAAAAGTACTCGCACAATGAAACGAGACACATCTCGATTTTAATGTTCTATTTTATTAATTGTCTCTGTCGATGTTATAATACGATTCTATATGTTTTTAAGAAAGCAATAATGATTTTATTTTTACCTAAAATATAAATTTGAAAAAAAAATACCAATGTTAATATCAAATCAACTATTTAAAAATTCTATTTTTTTATGTAATTTCTTTAATTTATTTTTTTAATTACAATTTAATTTAAGTTTAATAACAAAATAATTTATTTTTGGTTTAATAATATAACATTTTATAAATATAATAATTAAGTATTATGTTAATTATATTTTAGATTTTTTATATTTAAAATGAGATGTTTATTCTGTATTTGATCATGTTTATCTGTAGTTAGTTACACGAATTCAGATATGAAGTTTAATAAGTTGTACTTACGCACATTAACTTGCAATCTTGATTTTAAGTAATATGCATTAATAAACAGTACTTTACGCATATAAAGTGGTTTTTAAGAATTTTTGTCAAATGGTTTATAATATAGTATAGATGATTATCCTAATTATATTTTAGATTTTTTATATTTAAAATAAAATGTTTATCCTGTATTTGATTATGTTTATCTACAGTTAATTACACGAATTCAGATATAGAGCTTTAATAAGTTGTACTTATGCACCATCTACTTGTAATCTTGGGTTTTAAGTAATATGCATTAATAAACAATACTTTACGCATAAAAATTGGTTTTTAAGAATTTTGGTCAAATGCTTTATAATATAGTATAGATAATTGAACTAATATTACATATTATTCATATGGTTCGAAATATATACAACTTTTTTGGAATTCAAGGTTCAATCTGGGAACCAGACCAATTTAAGCTTATAAGAAACTCACAAATCTAATTTTCTATCAATATGAGATTGATTGTTATATTTTTTTTCATGTAAAAATAATATTTAAAGTGTATTTTAATGTTAATTTCAAAAATCCTAATTATAAAAACACGTATAACATTTTTACGTAAAAAAGATACTTTGTTATAAAATTGGGATCATTTAGAACCGAATTTGGGACCGTAGTCTTCGTCTTTTGGGACCGGTTTTTGACCATCAAAATAGTTGCATATTTGAGGTCCATTTAAACGAAACCCAAATGGATATGACCCGCAAACCCTTCTCAAACACCAGGCCATAAACAAAAGCAGATAAACCAGAAGAGTTTCTTGAACCTTAGCAACAACCACATCCATGGCTTCCATCAAACCATTTTCAACCCTTTCTTCTCCATTAAACCAAACCATTCCTTCATTACACAACTCATCGTTTTCCTTCAAACCCATCTCGTCTTCTTCGTCGTCATCCGTATCGCAAAGAGGTCAAGTTGCAGTCTCTGTAGCATTCAATCCAAGTGGGAACTTTGACCTCTCACTGTATGATGAACAAGAAAGTACGACCTTCATCATCATCATCTTGTTATCATTTCTCTTTTCATTCTGAAATTGTACTCAGTTTTCTTTTTGTGATATATGTTCTCAATTTGTTGAATTTCTGGGGTGTTTGGAATTGCTTATAAAAACAACTTATTGACTTATTCCGGTGTGGCACCGGTAATAAGCACTTTTGAGTGTTTGGATATACAACTTATACGGTGTCAAACCGGTAATAATTTTTTTTTTTAAAAAGTTAAACCCTTCTGACTTATAATAAGTTGATAAGTGTTTTTGTAGAAAAGTATAAGTTGAGAATCGGGAAACCAACTGCTTCATTTATTATTCAAGATCTTGTTGAATGTCATGGTATATAATTTGTAACAATACCTTATATTTCTGTATATTGACAGATGTAGAACCAGCACCTCCACCGATGCCTCCAAAAGACGGTCGATATGAAGTAGTCATCGACAAAGACATAATTCGACGTCTAGATATGTCTTCGTTTTCTAACGCCACCGGAATTACGACAACTTCAACGGGTTAGTAGCATTACATGAAATATGGGGAACATAAAAGTATTTGTGCGATTTATTCCATTTTGTTGATCTTCACGTAGTTGATCCACGGGAATTTCTTGAACGCACGATCGGATTCACAATTAATTACGACAGAGAAGATGAACACGATCCACGAGAACTATCGGAATTCCCTGATATAAGACTATGGTTTGTTAGACTTGATGCTGTATATCCATGGCTTCCAATCCTACTGGATTGGCGAGCCGGAGAACTTGCACGCTATGCAGCCATGTTGGTGCCGCATCAGGTACATTATGGGTTATATTTGACAAACTAAACTAACTAAAATTCCAACTGTTCGCTAGTAAACTAACTGTTAGTTGATAAACTAGTTGTTAATTGATAAGTGAAATGATTTTAAAAACAAACATTAAAATTAACTGAAAGAAATATAAGTGGTATGACTGGAAAACGCACCGGAGCTTATTAAACCCATATCTGAAGTAACTTTTTTAAAGTTAGCTTATGTATACTCAAAACGAGATTTTCATTTAGCTCAAAAAATAAGGTAGCTCATGATTGACAAACAAGGCTTAGGGGCTGTTTACCAAATCTTTTTATTAAGTCATGTATGAATAAATTTGTCTGTCTGGATAAATGGGTGTTGTTGTTTACTTTTTTTATCTGAACTAACAGTTCAAATAACATAAATGACCGACTTACCCCCCAATATTAATTATTTGAATATCAAAACAAACAAAAAAATCATAAAGAGACCAAAGATGGGGTGTCTCATATGGGAAGGAGGCGCTGCTTTAAATAAGGGGTAGGGGTGTCATTTTTGTGGCTGAATGAGGACAACACACCATTTCTATCTGTGCGATTAAGCCATGTTCTGTGCGAATAAATCGTAAGTAAACAACCCAAATGAGTTGTGCGAATAAGCCAGATAGACCAATAAGCCTAATTAAGCTGCAAGTAAATAGCCCCTTATATAATACCCTAAGACTAGAAGTAACACGAATTTGATCTTATTTTTTATAATCGTATGTAAAAGATTGCGATCAAAAGCTCAAAATTATCGAGTATGAAATCTTTTGATTTTTACAGATGAGCATGAGAATGGGGGTGGTGTTCAATCCGGAGGCATTAGAATTGTTCATAATGAAGAAAGTGTTTATATCGTACTCTTGGTTGAAAGAAAACGATATCCCGAAGCCGAGATTGAAGGTTATAAATATGGCAAGAATGCTCGGGTTTGGAATCGGTGAGGAACTGTTCGATATGATTGATCGACATCCAGTTTCGTCTCCATAAGTTTGGATATCGATTGACATTCATTGTTCATCTTCGTAATTTGACCATCAACTGATCTATCGACATGTGTTTTTATCTCCAATACGATATTTCTCACAAACGATAAGTCGCTTTCGGTAATATTTTTCGTCATTATACGTATAAATGATGTATAATGGAAAAAATAAATTGTGTAAATGAAATAAACAACTTCTTAATTCAGAAAATATAACTCCAAAGGAGTGAGATTGTAGGAGGTCTATGGCCCAAATAATAAGCCCAATTTTCTATATTTAATAATGAGCTTGAGCCCAATTGATGTTGCCATCTTTTTTTTTATTAACCTGAATATCCAATCCGCTATGCAAGCCGACTAATCCCAGACGGACCACCTGCTTTGCAGATAGCCTAGAGTCACCGCATTTGAACCTCCGTGGCCATAAGGAGATTTTTATTTCTCCTTGGATTTGAACCCGAGACCTCCTAGTACTTTTGACATTTGGAGTCAAGCTCAAACAAATCAGACACCACCCTTCTATGTTTAGCATTTTTATTTGAATCCGTCCTATGTTTATAATAATAAGTATATTATTGTATATATTACACTTGTTTTTTAAACATTAGTGAGAGTAAGAAAACGTTACGTTAAGAGAATTTACCTTTGAAAAAGTGTTTAGAGGGTTTTTCATCAGTGTTGTTTCTAGAATAACATCAACAAAACAATGAAACAGTGTTCGTAAATGTGTTTTCTCAACAAGCGATGATAGATCAATAACGTCTTTAGATTACATCACACAATAAATAGACCAAGAAGATTATATAGATGAAAAGAGATATAATGGGGCATGAGGTATGTATGGAAAGATAGCAGGCTGGTTGGAGGAAGCAACTGCAATCTCATCATGACGGGGATTTCATGTTCTAAGATTATAATGATGTTTCAAGGATGATGAATCCATGTTGCTCGTATTTTTCAATGCAAAACTTCTGGTTAACCTCGGTTCTATATTCGTGTTGGTAGGACGTATGCACACAAGTTCATTGATCCAAATCCATTTCGGCTCAAGTTTTGCAACCTCTCCATGTGCAACCTCACCAAAAGAATATTGGGTAATCTGTCACTGATTTGAATTACCCACCAACTTTTGTGACGTTTTGTGACGAATCACCCTTTAACGACGAATTTCTCAGGGAAAAGGACAGACAAAAGTCTTCTATTTAGTAGTAAATAATAAAGTTATATAGATTAATTATTATATCTTTTTAAATCATTTATATTCAGAAACAAAACTCTACCAATGATATCAATACATATATAATTTTACTTCTTTTCATACCAAATGAAAACTATTAATATAACGATGTGTCAGCTACATGTTGTATTTGCATCCTTTTGTATGACGTTACATTTTAAAAAATTAATATAAATGATTAAGTTAAACATCAATCGTGAATGACATGATCTTTCGATGCCAAAACAAAACCCTGCATGATTGATAAATAACTGTGATTCGACAATCTAATTTACTTTCAAGTTCCAATAATTGATATGAACAATTTAGGGGGTGTTTGGGATTGCTTATCTAAAACAACTTATGTATTTTTGTAAAAGTGCTTATTAATTTATGTGGTATTAAATCGGAGTTCTGTAAAAAGTGTTTGAATTAGTTTATAGCGGTACAAAAAAGCAAAAAACTGATAAATTGTTTTTTAATATTTGACAAATTTTGTTTATATATGTAAAATGATAAAAAAAAAAAAAAAACATGACTCATGCAATTGTAGTGTAGATATAGGGATCATGTGACCCATGAGCCATAAGTAGCCATGTATTATGGTCCCTTGATGTTCAATGGCGAAAAGGGCACCAACCCATGTGAGCAAGGACACAAATGAATGAAGGGTGTGAAAAGGGTATGGGTTGATTGATGTCATGGTCAACATTTGTTGGGGCTTCAAAATGGAGGGTTTGATTTCTTGTTTGGTTTGATAATAAGGTAGAAATTGATGACGGGACAACTACCATTGCTTGCAGGAAAAAAAATTCAAACGAGAACTCATTTATTTTATGAAAAGACGAGAATATATATGATATTGTAGTTCATCAGATGTGATATTAAATGAGAGTCGTGATCGACCTTTGGCATGATCTAAATCGCGGGTCAAGTCGAATTAACTTCACGAGTATTTCACATGTGATAAGTACCATGAATAGAAAATCATCGACTCATTTAAGCATTCGTTCTAATAATGCATTTTTAAAATTCTTTTACTATTTGTCTCGGTGCATTTAATCATATGATATATATATATACGTGAGTCAATGCTCATGCATAGTGATGCGCAAATTGCCCTGGCCCGAAGCCTCGGTCCACGCCAGGCTAAAAAGCCTGAAAAGCCAAATATATTGTAAGGCCCCGTTCAAATCCACCCCAAAAAGTATGTTGTGAAAAAAGTCGACCAGACACATTTTCAAATCCAGAGTTCAATATAATCAGGATCAGATATTTTTTTATTACTAAAAACGGGTTTGAGAAACCTGAATTTTATATATCTAGATCTACTTATGCACATAATACATTTTCCAAGTGTATGGGTTCACTTTATAGAATTCATTCGTACCAAATATTTAATTCATCTTAATAGGATTTTAAAATAGATTTTTAATTAGAATAATTTATAGATTTAGTCCCTACAACTAATATTTTTATAGTTTTGGTCCTTATAGTTAAGTTTATTCAAAACTTTGTCATTGTGGTATTCACGTTTGCTTGGTTTAAATTTTAATACCTCCCACTATCAAGTATCAACTATTAATTTTTGTTCATTAAATGGGGGTGTTTTAGTTTTTTAATATTATTTTATCTCATTAATAATTAAAAAACTAATATAATTTCGGTAACTTCTTTTAAGAATCCATTAAATTATAATAATATTTGAGAATTAGTGCATCTTTTGTTTTTTCCTAAAAAATTGGTTAACATATATTTATTTCATATATACTCAGTTCAAAATGTGAATGTTTTTAGTATATCTGTGAAACAAAAAATATATGTAAAAAAGTTTTACATTGTGAAACAGATACATATGAAACAATAAGATTATAAAACAGATATATGTTAATCAATATATTAAATAATATACTTAAATAAAAAAAAATCATGTTAAACGAAGCTCTAAAGTAGAATTTCTCATGGATCTCACAAATTTTCGAGTTATCAAATGATTAAGCCCCATATAGTTTATATATCTCTAGTACTTCTTCATTTTCAAATATGTGAAACAAGTATGTATTTTCAAAAGTAAGGGGTTGTTTACTAAATACCTACCTTGGTAAGCGGTTACTGGTTTAGTTACCTTAACCGGTTAACATAATAATGACCGAGAATCTTACTTAGTAAAAAGGAAGACAAGGATCGAGAGTCTTACCCGGTAAGTACTTACCGGGTTGTAAATACTTGTCATCAATCCATTTGGATGGCCGGAATGTTACGCATAAGATAGATAAGAGTGGCTGACTATTGCCGGTATCACTTACCGGTAAGCATTTAGTAAACAGCCCCTAAGTGACTATTTTTCAATTATACCCTTAATTAGAGATGGAAAATTTTATTAATCTTTATATCATCATAGGTAAATTTGTCATTTAGACAATTAAAAAATGTAATAATTACACATTTATAAAATTATATGGCATTTTTGTTATAAACAGTTATTTTAGGACGTACATTGCCTTTTAAACAGACCGACGCATAATTTTTTTTAATGAATAATAGTTTCTTAATGAATATTCATCGTTGAATATCCGTTCAGAAAATACATATGCAAAGTGAATATATATTCATCAATGACAAAAGTTCATATGTGAAGCAATCTATTAGTTTATATTTGAATTAGTTAAAATAGTTCATATGTGAATTACATAGGTTCACATATGAACTCGTTTGCTTAGCCGTAATTATTGACTAGTCAAAGTCGTAATTATTGATCAATCAAATCTGATATTGACTGTATAAAGGGCTAGAATCGCTTCTTTACTTTTTAAATATTTACCATTTCTCAAAATAATTTTGGATATATATATATATATATATATATATATATATATTGAGAGAGAGAGAGAGAGTATGTGAGAGTGGAAGTTCCTTTAGGAATATAAGAAACCCTTGAACCGTCTACAAGATGAATATTTTTTTTTTTTTTTTTTAAATATTGGCATGTTGTTTATCATGAATCACATATTTATGATGAATATGTTACGACATTCATAATGAATATTTATGACATTCATGATGAATACACATGTCCTTATTCCTAATGAATAAGTCATGTGTTGTCCTAAGGTTTTGCAATTGCCATTTGAGTATTTTTCCAAATGGTAAATTGCATGAAAAAGTAACGTACTTTAACTTGATTCCTATTTTGGGTAACGTACTTTCAAAACTTTCATTTTGGTACCTATTGATAGAGCAAATTACATGAAAAAGTAACGTACTTTAACTTGATTCCTATTTTGGGTAACGTACTTTCAAAACTTTCATTTTGGTACCTAAATGTAAAGTTTTAAACATTTAAGTACCTGGGTAACCCGGAAAGACTAATTTTAGACTAAAAAAAAAAGACTAATTTTAGATTTTAAAAAATCCACGTCACTGACCACGTCAGCAAATAATACCGAGTTGGATACCACATCACTCGCCACATTAACATGATAATCGGTTAATACTTCAACCAGTTACCCGAGTACTTAAATGTTTAAAACTTTACATCTTAGGTACCAAAATGAAAGTTTTGAAAATACGTTACCCAAAATAGGAATCAAGTTAAAGTACATTATTTTTTCATGCAATTTGCCCTTTTCCAAACCACAAACCAAACCATGCAAGCCTCAAACCGTAAAATACCACGTTGCAAAATATCTTACAGTTTATACGATTTGTATAGCTAGTTGCCCCACCTCTTAATAAATCTTGCCTTCCTCTGCTGCCACGGAAGAGTAAGTTTGCATGAAAAAAAGATATATAATATAAGGCTTCCTTTTTGGTTTCATTTTCAGTCATTCTTCTTTTTACTCCTCCGGTTGGCTAAAAACAAATGCTTTCAGTATGCCGAGATGCATGCACTAGTGATTCTCTGAGCCGATCTGGATTTCC